AAACCCTAAAGACCCTTTTCTATCCAAGCTCGCTTCCATCGCCGCGGCAAATCCAGATCTTGTAGCGATGCCGTCGTCGTCGAATTCTGAGATTCCTCCTTTTCTTGACCTCTTTGATAGCCCTAAGCTCATGGCCTCGCCTGCCCAGGTAAGTAGTTGTTGAGAATGAGAGGAAAGCAGAGATGTTTGGGTGAAATCTGTTAGTTTTGGGGTGTTTTTGTTGATGGGTATTTTTGGCTTTTCGAGAAGAAGCTGAGCCATTAGTTTACTTCCATCTCAAACTGAACACAAAACTAAGATGCTTCAAAATTCTGGTTTGCATTCGAATAGATATCTATGTCTCAAGAGGTAACAGTAATTAGAGCGCTATCTTGATTTCCTCTGGCAGTAGATTCCTATAACATAACATTACAATTGACTATTCCATATGAATCTTTGGGATAATGAGATTTCCCACTAAGACATTGTGAGACTAAGTGAACCTTAGCATACAACCACACTTCCACAGTACCAGTCGAGCATTGAAATCCGGGTGACACACCAGTTGACCACTGAAATCCTGCTGTCACGCCTTTGGCTTTACTCTAGAGTAGTCCCGGGCGAACAATGTAATACAGGCATAACGACCTGTTCTGCTCTGGTGCAACTAGGAAGATGGGGTTGCCGGTTGGATTTAATACCACCCCTAGAGGGAGGAAACTCAAGTCCCTTGTAAACCCATAGACCATAGTTGAATCCACGTCTAGTCTATGTGGGACTAAATGGACCCTAACAGCTTGTGGTTGTAGATTCCTATCATGGTTTTGTACTCGAGTTTTGTCCAACTTCCACAGTATGTTGTCATATGGTTTTCTTAGCTTGGTTTTTTATTTGAAGGAATACCTATTAATTTTTTTTAAAATATTACACAGGATTCAGTAGGTCTATGTTTTCACTTATTAGTTATCTCACTCAGGTGGAACGATCTGTTTCTTATAATGAGCACAGGCCAAGAAAGCCTCCCCCAGACCTGCCATCTTTACTTCTTCATGGACGTATCGTCTACATTGGCATGCCAGTGAGTGTCTCAACCTACTTCAATTTTGTTTTGTGTTTTGAATTCCAGCATAATTTGATTCAAGAGTTTATTAAGACTAGAAGGTTAAGATTACTAATTAGAAGAATGAGAAACCTTTCATTGTTACTCTTGAGGGGATAAATAATCCAATTCGTGAAAAATGCAATTATTAGGTGAAAGGGTTACTTTTTTCCTTAGGAATATCATGAGGATGTAGGAGAGCTTGTAATTCTTGAGGTTGTTATTTTAGAGAGGTTTAACATGTTTCACAAGGAAAATGTTTTCCTAATCTATTCCCGTCTTTCCTGCTATAAAGAAAAAAGATTTTAACGTATCAAATGTGGTTTTCTCTAAGTTGAGAGATGATTTGAAAAGTGCACGTGAATAGGTACATATTGATTCAAGGGTTTGTCGAGCTTTTCCCAAGTAAATATGAAATAAAGCAAATATGGAATAAAGCAAATATTGAGTTAAGAGATGATTTTGAAAAGTGTACGTAATAGATAGATATTGATTCAAGGGTTTGTTTAACTTTTCCCTAGCAAATATGGAATTAATCTTGATCTGAGTTTGGTACTTGAGCATGGTGCCTATTTTAGTGTGTGATTTTTGGCCATGAGCCTCAAAGTATGGTCTTTGTTCAAGAAAATTTATCCACAATCTATGTGTTTTAATTTTAATTAACTCCTGTTGGGAAGCCATGAGCCTCCAAGTATGGTCTTCATTCTAGAAAATTTATCCAGAATCTGTGTGTTTAATCAACTCTTGTTGGGGAAGCCAGTAATGGATGTTGCACTTTTTTGTTTTTACATAAATATAATTCTCTGTTGTGGCAATAAGAACAAATCTCAAACCAGTTTGGTGGTTGTTACTTATGAGTTATAGCGGACTGTTTCATATTGGAAGGAAATTTTCTTGCTCATCTCCTTTCTTAAAAGAAAGTTTCCCCAACACATATTTAGCTATATGATTGATCTTGCATTTTAATCATGCTTAGAAAGTTTATCTTGAAGTCTAATCGTGCTCAGAAAGTTTACCTGACTTTTTTTTTCTCGGGACCACTAGTTGGTGCCAGCTGTCACAGAGCTTGTAATTGCAGAGTTGATGTACCTGCAATGGATGGACCCAAAGCAACCGATATATCTATATATCAATTCTACTGGAACAACTCGTGATGATGGTGAAACTGTAAGTGGGCTGGTTTATTTCATCTCGATTTTTCGTGTTTATAATTAGATTGTAGTTAGCTTCCTTTGCTAAAAGCATTACATGTTAACTATGATCATACATAAGCTTCATGATGGTTTCATGGGTTCTAAGATTTAGCTAAGATTTTTACCCGCTTGGTATTTATGTTTTTTGTGATATTTAGCTTTCATTTGAATGTCTTCCTTCTTTTATTAGGTGATTTTTCACAAGACTACAATGAACTTTGCGGGGAGGGGGAGGGGTTGTTTATTTATTAATTATTATTATTATTATTATTTTGAAGCAGAAAATACCATAATCATTCAAATTACATAAAAAAAATTTAACCTGGAAATTGATGCCAACACCTCTTACTATAACGCATTGTACCTTAGAACTGTAAACAACTAAATGTGTCTTCTTAACGGAGACTTTGCTAATGTGATTACCCCCTTGCCATGTTCCCCAAATCTCGACTGAAAGAAACACATTATACCTTAAACTGCATACAACTAAAGATCATTTGAGTTTGAAATCAAGGTTGGAAATTTTTGGACGGAATGTAGAACATTTTGACAGCGGACATGTTTTTCAGCAGAACACTGAAAATTTCTGGTATTTAAAAAAACAACGAAATATAGTTCATGATAGTTTTGTGATTTCACCTGTAAGTTCGTGGTATTAATTTGAAACTAGCTGAATGTACTCATGGCAAATTTTTCTAAAACATGCAACTTGCAAGGCACATGACAACTTATCATGACGACCACCAGGCATGGTAGTTTAGTGAAAGAAATTTATGGTATTTTTCTCCAACAAGTAAGCCATTGTAGTTTTAGTTTTAAGAATACGCCTTAAACTTCCTGGTAGTTTTGTGCAATTTGCCCTATTTTGTTCTTACCATTTGTCAAAGATTCATTCATAAGCAATAAACACCATGTATTCCTTAAGTATCATTGAGTTTTGACTTTTGCATAAGTACTCTTTTTTAAGTGTAGATATATGTTCATCAATTTTGTCCAAAAGCAAAATTTTCCTGCATTGTTTCACAATCTAGATGCAATGGTGTTAGATTTATGATGTCGGCTTTCCATTTGTGTTCTCAGAAAGTTGTAGAGGAGATAAAAAAAAAATTTAATGTGTTCGGATAGGTATGGCTAAAAAACTGGTTGTAATGGACATGACTAAGAAGGCTGGAAATTTCTGTCCTGCATCAAGAGTGCTTCTGAAAAATATGTTAATCTTCAGTAGACATCTAGCATTGATTCGAGGTCAATGGATTTGGATGCGCTTGATTAATGTTTTGCAGAACTTTGTAGTCTAGATTTAGAATTTTGTGTCTTCCTGCAGCTGCTTGTTACTCATTTACCCTCTTCAGATATACATATACTGGTATCAAAGTTGCAAACTGTCCTTTGGTTCTCCATAATTAGAAAATAGTACCTAACAGTCTCTGGGATTTAATTATTTGGTTTCTCATACTTTCATGAACCTTTTCCAGTGTGAACTCACTAGTTAATTTCAGATGTTAAATAAACAACAAAATCTTTCATGGATACTGATCATTTTGAGTACTATGTTTTTAGAAACACTGAAAAGGTTAGTTTCAGCGTTGAAGCCTATGTCAACAGTATGTTCTTACTAGTATGGAATGAGTAAATATGTATGATTCTGCAAAAAAACTCGTGGCAGATGGAGCAAAGAAATGGATACTGCTAAATGTTATATTATTTCCTTGCTCTTGCTCAAGGTTCTGATTTAGATCAGCATGTGTTTTTCTAGCTGCTGGCAAATGTAGCATAGTGAGAACTTCATGTGGATGACATTGTTAGTATTGTACGTATAGGATCCTTGATGTTATATGAAATGCTTTTAGTCAGTGGTGTAGCCAGGAATTTTTTTTTGCCCTGCGCGAAAAAATAACAAATCAAAAAAATAATAATAAACAAACTAAGAGTGCTTTGATTAGATATTGATAAAAAAGACAGTTGTATCATACACATTCAAAATATGAGATACACCAGAAACAAAAGTATCTAAGTCGAGCTCTATGAGTATGTCGTGAATCAAACTCCTCTACCATTTCTTCTATGTCGAGGTTGGAAGTAATTTCTTTTTCAATATAAAGTATTATGTTATTAGCAAGCAATTTATCTTCCATCTTGTTGTGCAATGATGTTGTTATGAGTTTTATTGTCGAAAATGCACTTTCCACGCTTGCAATCGAAACAGGAAGAGTCAACACGAGCCGAATCAACCTATCAATAAGAGGATATCTTTTGGATTTTCCTTTACTTACCAACTTTTGGCATAATCCTGTGAGTGTAGTAATATTTTGAAAATCAGTATCACACCGCATATCATGCTCATAATGTTGCAATTGATGCCTCAGCTAATAATTAATCTCCATTTCACTGAAATCTTGGGGATAATATTTCTTCGCAAGCATGCAAAGGTCATCAACTTTAAATGATTTGAAAGAATCTTATGGATCCAAAGCAGAGCTAAGATTTAGAAGTTCTATTGCTCTATCGGAGAATCTTTCACATAACCCCATCACTTGTGTGTTAACAACTTCATATAATATATCAAAGCGATAAAGATGCTCAATTGTAATTTCATCACTCTGCTGACAAGAACGACATGTGCCCTTCACATAACGAGAACTCATATCGGGTATATCAATTTCATGTTTCATACAAAAGGATACTACAAACTGTAAAAATTTGCCATTTGTGATCACTTTTCAACTCACAGAGAAGAGTTTTTGTGATAGAGATAGAATCCATACCAGTTAAAATATCTTGATCTTTTCTTTTCAGCGATTGACAAAGTACTTCTGTTATTCCCATTATTTCAACCATTAAGTGTAAGTTAAAAACAAAGTCAAATGAACCCATTGTTGTCACGATCCCAAATTCCAAACCTAAAAAGAATATTGGAGCCGGACTAAACCTGTGATGAATCCTCCAAAATATGCATTCATTAAAAGACCATCAAAATAATCTCTTCATTGAACTAAAACCAATAATAAATATTCTCTATAATCCCAAAAATCAACATTAATCCAATTAACTTGATATGAACAAGTATTCCTCAAGTTTAAATAAAACTCGACCTAAAGGAAAAAAATCTCGTAATTACACGACTCTCAATTCATCAACTAAACATCAATACTTTATTTAACCTTCACCTAAAAGATAATAACAATCCTGAAATTTTATTCCTTGCTCCGTTCTATGAATTTGGCAAATCCTCAATTCCACCTAATCCCGTGTCTCTGAAAAGAATGAAAACAACACAATGAGTTCACAACTCAATAAGTGGATAAATTCATACATTATACACTGGTTTTGCAAAACTAAAATATTTCGATAAGAGATAAACAAAAATATAAGAATGATAGAGAATCATCAATGAACTCTAGTACTTGATGTAAATATTTAAGGAAATTTAGAAATCATAAAATGAAAATAAGCAAACTACGTCTCAATGCGGTCAACAATTCATACTCCGGTTGACTCGGTAAACCCCACAATTATTAAGCCCGTGGTTCCGGGATGGTGAGACCTAAATTTGGGCTCTTAGCGCTAAAATAAAACCTCATAGAGGCACATTGAGCCTTGTTTTAATAACTTGCTTATATACGACATATACCGGTATATTGACTCGAGATGCATATGTTTAAAAAAAGAAAAATGAACAAAGTTCATATAACCAAGTATGTTATACAAAAACGCCAAAGGCCAACCAATAGTGAAATCAATCAACCATATATGCATCTCAACCTACTACTATATGAAAATACATAATAATTGACAGAGAAAATAAGCATAAGCTTATACCAAATAACCACGTGCATTCATCCAATCAACAATTAGTATGCAAGTAACCATACAAAGGGTATAATCCATCAGGAACAAACTTACATATAGTCAATATAATTTTATATGAAAAATACACAACGAATAATATGCAGATTCACCACTTACTATAAATCCGAAGATAATCCAGCTACTCCTCACAATACTTCCTCGGAATTTTGTGAAATCCCTAAATACGACATACAAAATAATCATCAATATAGTCATCTCACTAATTATAATACATAACACATCAAATCATTTAATACGACTATAGTATAACAACTTAGTACCTCAATTGTTATAGCTTTGACATAAATTTTTTTTGTAACAAATCATGACTGATCCACACAAGGAGACAAAAGAGCAATTTTGATTGCTCCATTTATGCAACGTGTAGGTATGTTGCTAAAATTAATTAGTGATGTTAAGATGAGGATTAAATAAAGGTAAAGCTTGGATTTGTTTGTCTACCTTTCCTCCCAGGTACGCACTCCCTCTTGAAGTTGTTTGGTTTTTTTTTTTTTTGAGAGAGGCCAAAGCGGAAGCCGCGGAACAGAGACGGGAAAGAAGAGAAGCGGCTGATGGACTCGGGAGTTGGGTAGGGTTTGTGGGGTATTTATAAAGGCCCTTTTTGCTATTAGAACCCTCTAATAACTTTTGCATAAAAGTTCTTATACTTTTCCTTATATATATTTATCTAAAAACTTAGAATTATTACATGCTACCCCTCTTAATAGAAGTTTTATCCTCAAAACTTGGACATACCCGAGTCTTCAAATAAATTAGGATATTTTCCCTTCATCTCATCTTCGTGCTCCCAAGTAGCTTCTTCAGTTGAATGATTTTTCCATAAAATCTTCACTAGCTTAACAATTCTTGACCTCAAAGCTTGCTCCTTTCAGTCCAAAATTCTAACTGGATACTCTGAATCAGTGTTGTAAATAGCGGCCAATAGCGGGGCTATAGCGGCGCGAATAGCGGTCGCGGCCCTTCAGCGGTAAATAGCGGCCAATAGCGGGGCTATAGCGGCGCGAATAGCGGTCGCGGCCCTTCAGCGCTACGCGTAAGGGTTTCGCGGTTGGCTTAGGCGAAAAAATCCGCTATTCATTTGAATAGCGCGTAAAAGCGGATTTT